CCTGGCCGATTATTTATCAAGGCACCCGGTGGGGAAAGCTACGCGGGTGAGCCTTTATGAGAACTCATTCACAGTTGCAAAATTGCAGTCAATTTCTAATTTCCTTGGCTATAAAGGGCAGAACACCACCGGAGTGGCTATTAGCAAGTCAAAGACCAATAAGAATGCAGCAACGCTTATAAATGAGTGTAATGACCGCGAAGGCGCGAAAAAAAGTCAAATCAATTACTGAGTGTCAATTACCTGACTTTGCAATAATCCTTTTCAAAACAACAACAATTTTGCAATGCCCAATATTTACTTGAAGAAATTAAATAAATTACTTTTGCGATATCCAGAGATTACCTGCGGGAGCAGCAGCGAGTTGGAAATGGTGGATGCAAGACTGGAGGCGCTGACGGCGGGAACCAGAGACAATACTGTTATCTCAATTCCTTCGGCGTTTGGGGGGGGGGGGTTGTTTCCGGCGACATACTCGGCAAACGTGGTCATGTCCGTAATTCCACGAGACTGTAAAATTGTCCGGAAAAGTGATGCTTTGCCAGAATTTATTAACCTCAAGCTAGTGGAGGCTAAATACAAGGGAGTCCCTCAAATGCGCGCTGTCAAGGATTTGGTGCAAGATAAAGACCCCGATATTGAAAAGAAGGTCCGAGCAATTGGTGCTTATTTGGGACAGCACACCCATGATTTTCACGTCCGTGAAAATTGCCTGTGCATGGACGAGCGACTGGTCATTCCTGTTCCTCTCAGGAAAGCGGTGGTCAACGGGATCCATTGTTTCCATCCTGACCGAACAAAAATGTTCGATGCGGCAAGCGACGTGTGTTTCCCCTCATCCACCGGAGTTTGGTGGCGGGCTCGGATGGGTGCAAAGAATGCACCGAAGCAGTTAAAAGCCTTAAACCAATGTGCGCCAAAGGTGACATTGGGAAGATTTACGAACCTAGGGAGCCTAACGATGGCCTGCAATTAGATTTTTGGGGTCAAATTGAGTATCTAAATGAGTCGAATAAATACATTCTTGCGGCGGTTGATTGGTTTTCGCGATGGCCATCGGCAATGATTTGCGGGAACAATAGAAGCGATAAAGTTCTAAAGTTTATGAAACAATAGATTTCTCATCAAAGTGTGCTTAGAAAAATTTTCATGGATCAAGGGTCCAGCTTTACGTCAAAAGCGGAAAAGTCATTTTGTAATTCCAAGGGCATAAAAATTATCTATTCCCCCGTATACAATCACCGAACCATTGAATGTGTCGAACGCACAATTGGCAGTCTGAAAAAAATTGTTTTAACCTAGGCGAAAGAAAAAGATCATGGTAATCACGAAACTATGGTAGAACGCGCGCTTAGTGCTCTTAGATTTGCTGCTAATGCTACACTCAAAATAACGCCGTTCGAAGCACATCCATCATGGCCGGGAGACAAATACTGTCCTTCGGAATCTTACACAAAAGCCATCGTTGCAAAACCTAAATTGGGAGATGGTATTGAAACGAAAATCTGCCTTTTTAGATTCTAATGACCAGCGGGCCGTCAATCTTCCGCACCCAGAGATGACTAATTGGGAGGATAGGTCAGACGCCGATTATGACGTTGAACACATAAACCATCCAAGGAAACTCGTGGAGGACCCGTTGGTGTCCATAGCTGACATGGGCACGGCGCCAGCGGATGCAACCAAAAACTCCAGGAGAGAGAAAAACACGGACGGAACTCTTGTTCGAACGGCGGACGGAATTCTTGTTCGAACGCATCAAAGATAGCAATAAAAGGTATAGACCACTAAAAAAAAGTATTTAGTGAATCTAAACATAACTTAACTCTAGCAAATGGGTCTGTGCTTAGAAAAAATGGAGTCGCGGAAAAAGCACAAAACTCGGCTGTATCGGAATTCGCAAAGGATGTATCGGCAAAACCTCCGACGATGGTTGATGTAGAAAAAAGAATCGAACAGAAAAAAGCGGAGGCAGAAAAAGCAAATGTGAGCCTTAAGAAAGCGGCTAAGGTAGCAAAATTGGGACAACGATGACGGCTCCGAGTCGGATTCCGAATACGAGCCATTGCGGATTACGCAATATGCTGGACTGGGAGCTGTGAGTGACGAGCTGGAGTCTGGGCCTGGCCATAGAAACGTGGCAAGTACGCCACTTGCCAAAGGGAGTACAGAAGTCGGAGCAAAGCCATCCGGCGGATTCGAAACGAAACCTTCCGAGGGAGAACATACGGTTGCTGAGCGATCAGAGGAGGCTAATATCGGAAAAGCGGGAGTGCGCCTATTTTGACCAGCGGAGTAGAGACGGGGAAAATTGGTAAAAAGAAGGCGGAGCGTATAAGGAAGCAAAGATTGGTGTCGTATTACACTCAAGTTGTTTTTTTATGGTTTCTCAGTTTTTCAGCATCAGTTTCAGAAATCAAGAACGATGATTGGCTGAGAAGTGGAACACAAAAATGCCGGCCAATTAAAATTGATTCCAATCATTTGTGAACTGGCAAGTTAAGCCCATTTTACGGTAACCCTCCTGATCAATGGCTTACGTTTACGAAACTCGAAACCAAAGCTGCATTTTTTTCCTGTCTTATGAGACAATGGACCTCAATGCTTTGGAAGAGGAACTTAGAGGCGTTTTCACACCCAATTCAACGTTTGAAAGAAACATTTACGAGATCCATCGCGGCCATCGGAGCGATTGTTCAGATCTTGAATTAGCTACAAAGAAAAGAACTGAAGCATTGACAATAAATAAAACATCATCTACAGTGGTAACGCTTTCGTGAAAATAGGCCACTGAAATATCAGGTCTGTCAGTTTTTTGCTGAATAGGCTGGTATGTGACAAGACGTGGGATAATGTCTAACTAGATGGTACTTCTGATAATAAAACAGACCATCAAAAGGAAAAACAATTTCAGAATGTCGAAAAGAGGAAAAATGACCTGGAACGCATCAAAAAATAAGAAGGTATACTTGCCGTTGTTGAGGCAAAACAAGCTGGATCTAAGTTTTACATGCTAGACATGCTCCAAAAATCAAGAAAATCCTCTCAGCTGTCTTTGCTAGCTGTTCTGTATCTAAAATTTATAACGGAATCAGTTTTTTTAATGAAGATTTTAGCGTTGAATAATAATAATTATTTATTCATTTACTTATATTCCAGCAAATACAAAACTTAAAACGGAATATTAATAATAAATTTTTTCCAAGTGAAATCATTTCAAGAACGGAATTACAATTTAAGAAATTTAGACAAAAACGTAACTTGAGAGAGCGACAAATGACTAGATTAAACCTGTTTTTATAGGCGTCTCAGAGCGAGAATTGATAACGGTTTTTTGATATCCTTCTAAATAAGGGAAAAAAACTCGAAATGAATGCATTTTTGGTAGAAATTAAACAAAAATTCGACCTATAAACAAGCTCGATTTTCATTCCTGCTGTAATATTAGAAGTTTTTCGAACTAATTACAACAAAAACATTGAGCATTTTGAGGCAAACTACTTAAATTGAGCTCATAAGACTCACATAAATAAATAGTTCCAAGAAAAATATTGGGTAACCAATTTTAGCTTGACTGTTTATGAACGTTTTTTTTCTTTGGTAGACTGAAATCAAAATCCCCACCGTAAACTCATCTTCAGATTCCTCCACCGTGCCACCATCTTCGTCCGTTCTCACAATAAGAATGTCAATCTCAATCCTTTCACCACTAGTACTCTCTGGCTTGGAAGCAGTCACAGTAGTTTCAACCACTGGCTTCGAAGCAGTCGCAGTAGTTTTAGTAACTGGTTTGGAAGCAGTCACAGTAGTTTCAGCAACTGGTTCAGAAGCTGTCACAGTAGTTTTAGTAACTGGTTCGGGTTCAGACGTATTAACGGGTCTTTTGCTTATCATTCGCTAGATTCTGCTCGAAGTTGTTATACACTTGCAAAGCTGTTTTAAAATTAAAAGAAAGAAAGAATTATAATTTCAAGGCTGGTGATTTTGTAGAAAATTGATTAGTCGGCAAAACAATAGTATCGAGAAAAACTGGTTCAAAATAGAGTAAAGCGAACGATCAGGAATACTATTGAAGTATGAGCCGGGAAACTTTTTTTCAAACCCTGAAAATTTAATTTCAAACCAAATACTTCAATTTTCATTTTTTTTTGAGCGCCATCTGGGAAAAAGAACATTTTTTTATTTCCAACATTTTTGGTTGACTTTTGAGTCATTTTTGCCTATCAATGATGAATGAGCTTAAGTTATCGGCTTTAATTTTGGTGCTTTTATCACACCGTTTGCTTTTTGAATTTTCCAGAATGTCTGAAAATCAGAAATGATGAAGCGCTGATACCATAAATTCGGAGTGATTTACAAGATGAATCATCAGGAATTTTTCGGTACTGACATTTTCAGCACTGATTCATCTGTTGTCTAGACTTCATCAGAAGCTGAGTCAGCCATGGAAAACTCTGACTTTTATAAGCCAGCGATGATTATCACTTAGATATCAAAACGGGAGGGTAAGTTATACCAAAGAATAGGGTAAGAAACTCTTTGAAAAACTTTCAATTTAAGCTTAATAAATGTCAAATTTTGAGTCACAGCTTGGTGTGAGTAGTTTTTTTTGACGCTCTTTTACATATTTTTAGGACCATTGAAAATGGGGAGTAACTCTGTAGTCGGTTGTTTTAGTTTTTTTTTTTCTTTTTTTCTTTTTTTTTTTATTTCCATGCAAAATCAGGTACTTCAAGTAATCATCGCACTGGGCTGAGTGATATATCATATTAAAGCCGTTCTGGTCGTGCTTTGAATGACTGAAAAAAAACTTCCGTGTCGAGAAAAACCGGATTTAATTTTTTGATCGTTTTTTCTCTATTTTCGAGCAATTTTAGAACGATAATTTTTGAATTTTTTTAAGGCAATCTCTATATTAAAAACTTTCAGATTTTCGAAAAATTTCTGCAAATTGTTTCTTAGAAGGTAGGTTTTAATATTAAGAAACAAGAGACCCGATTTTTCTGCACTGGTTTTTAGGGGACTGGAGGTAGTCGGATTCAATTTGGAAGTGATCGAGCTCAATGTAAGGGGTAGAAGTCTACTTGCAACAGGGCTTGGAGTACTGGACGCCATTTCAGTAGTCTAAAACACTCTTTTGAAAAACTCATCCACATGATCTCCTGGAAACACAAAGTTCCCCCTCTGGCTGGTACTTTTTTAAATCTTCCATTTTTGGCAGGCCGACCCTTAAATTTTTAGTATGAACATATGATACAGTTGAGGGGGAAGAGCGCGGCGAATAAATGGAATTTTCTGGTCGAAATTTTCCAAAAACAATTTTCTGGTCGAAACTTTCAAAAACGACTCTGGTCGAAACTTTTCAGATCACCTTTTTTGACCTGTTTTTTGTTTCCAAAGTTGCGGCGTAGAAAATTTAGTCAATTTAGTAACTTCATGGTTAATTGTAAGAGCTCGGATAATTTACAATTGACAGCGCAATTTACAAAGAAAAACTCAAATGCCCCCATAAACTCACTACTCTTTTAGCTATATAAAAATTGATGACACAGTTGTTTTGACAAAAGGTTAGAAATTCACAACCAGATTTTTAAAAAGTTAGGTTAGATATACTCATTTGAAAGTTTAGAAATACTCACACTCGTAGCCCCATATTTTTCTTCAATCTCGTCACATGTCATGAACTTCAAAGATTTAGACCGAGTGTATGTATTGCATGACACAGTGTCAGTTGGCAGGGCATCACATATCTGGAACATGTCTGTGTCTCTGTTGACCCCATACTTGTCGCATATTTCAGAGGGAGGCAAGCCTCTGAGAGTCAGAGCTCGATATCTCTGAAACACAGCAAAAAGTGACCGGGCAAATTATCCCATTCAAAAAATATCTCAATCCAAATTATCCCATAGCAAGACGTCCCAATTGACACAAGATTTTAAATATCTCAAAACTCAACACAGCAGAAAGTTGGTTATCGTAAATGTGCACGAATTCGCTGAAAAACGTGATAAAAAATCTAACACTCAGTAGCGTTGCGCAAAAAATGATGTTCACATAAAGGTTCGAAAAACCAATTTTTGTTTCATTCAGAAACACATGAGTTCAATCGTGTAGAAGCAAGGGAAATAGTTAGTCAAATGGAAAAAAAAGTTCAAAAACTCAAATCAACCTTGTAAGAACCAGTAGATAGTAGCAAATCCTCAGGCAGTGAACGAAAATCCCGCAATTCGGCTTTAATTTCCTTCACGTGCAGCGTTGAAAAGAACCCTTAATCGGCAAAACCACTCAAAGTGACTTGATCCACCAACCATCATTTCGAATTCTCGACAAGTTTTTGCCTTTTTTGTACATAATAGCGGATAAGAGGAGAACGAGAAATTCATTCTTAAATGCTATTTGCTTCCATATCAATCTTTTCTTTTGAGACAGAAATCTATAGATATTTTCAGTCCACTTACAGTAGGTTCTTTAAATTGCTATTGTCTTCGAGCAAGCGCGCCTGGGTACTTTTTCGTCTTAAGAAAAACTGAAAACAAAGGCTGCTATTTAATCTAAGCAAAACATTGCAAAGTCGCAGAGATAGGTCTGAAAAACACCTAAGAAAACAATGCTAAGATACCTATAAACTCATTAACGATCCAAGCTTCAAAATTGTTCTTCTGTCAGATATCGAGTGTGCGTTCCCTCTATTCCTTGACCAAGTTTGAGAAACCACCCAGAAAATTGACATATGAGCCGATATCCTCGAGAAAACTGATAAATTTGCATCATATTTTCACCATGAATATCTTAATAGAGAAACTTTTGGCCGACAACAGCGCGGCTCTCTAAAATAACAACGATAAAGAAGCGGCATGACTCATTCAAACAACCAATGAAGTTGAAGGCTGGCATAACGGCATTGCGTCACTTTTCCAGGGCAGTCACCCCCCATTCGTATGGAACATGGTTAGATCGACTTTTTCAATCCGATGTTCAATTTTTTGAAGTTGAGCAGCGGTAACACAAATCAAATCTGTAAAAATTACCGCGAACTCAATGAAAAAGTCCTTATAATCACAAACTCTTACAAAAACTCAGATGTTGTTAATAACTATTATTCTCTGGCTGGTTATACTTTTATACTCTTAAGCTCTTAGATATCAGCTCGATAATATGCCGGCATAATTTTGTTAAATTGTCGGCTTTTTAATGAATTTTTTATCTATATTCTAAAAACACGTAAGTTTTTGGACTTATAGACATCGTAGAGTTACCATTTTTGGGAATTGGTAGAAGCGAATACAACAATAATTTTACCTTTTCTCTCACCGAGCCCCCATACCAAAAACAAGTTTTTTTGGTGTTTTGGGGGACTTTTTGCAATTTTCATCGATTTGGAGCTTATTTTAATGATTTGATCCACCGTGAATTGATTGCTTGATCCTTAGACCATAAGTCATCTTTTTTAACCACAGTGCCGAGTCATCCTGGAACATCGCTTTTTTTTCGCTTTGATATTTCAAAAGATGGGTGGATACAAAACGCGCGCTGAAATTTGTACGCCTTGAACTGAATTTCATTCATCAGATGGAATATTTTAATTTGCGTGGGCTATTTTGTCGGCTTGGTTGTTTTTGAGTGGATAAAAAAGGGGGATACAAATTAACGGTTGTTATGTTTCAGAAATAGTTGCCATCCTGCCGGATAGTGCGCCCATTGAAAAAAATGATTCTTTACAATCGACTTTTTTTGAATTATGTGTAATCGTTGATATGAACATTTTCTTTTTTTTTCAGTATGTAATCATATTTTTTCCTTTTCAACCCGAAAAAAAACAGATTAGGTATAATTTTTAACACTAGTTCTTCGCCGTCCAATTATTTGCTTTGCAAAAACTGAGGCTCAAGTTATTGACTTCAAAGCTAAGAGCAATTTTTTTGAACAGGTAAATTTTAGAAATCATTTAACGCAAGGTTTTTAAAACCGAGAATTACCGCCAGTAGGGTTTTAATATGATATCAAACTTGATATCGTGCTTTGGTTTGTTGAAAAACCTAAATTCTGGCACAGAAAAAGTCACCATGCACCTCGCGAGGGTGAGCGTCATCGGAATATAAACAGTATCTATAAAAATATGGGTCAATTCATCTTTATCATTAAAAATATCAACCAACCTGGTGTTTGCTTGCTTTTTTAACCTATTTTTATTTCAAAATGTTTGCAGACAATTAACTCGAGCATACAGATTTCAACAAAAAAGCAACGAAAATTTTTTTTTGGCTGCAGATAATTCAAACATAGTCAATTTATTAGAAGTTCTATGACCCGGATGACATTCTCAGCGCTTATTGTCGAAGGTTCACTTGTAAGTCATAGCCAAGTAATTCACACAATAGTTCATTAGTTAAGCCTGGATTAAGCTCTGGAATTAAGTTTGGAACAGTACTTATGCTATTGAACTTACAATAAATATGAAAGCAATGTCGTCCAGCTGGAGTTTTAATCCGCGATAAAGTTCGAACTAGTATACATAATATGTTTTTCTTGTTTATTTTTATTTTTGAAGTTTTGCTTTTAAAGGCCAAATATAGCTTGGGTGACCTTGTAGGACCAGCAGCTAAGTCTTTGAGACTACGTTCTCACGCAATATACGTTTGTCGACAATTGATACTATTGAATTTAGTCTTCAATAGTCCTAATATTTTTATTTCAGACATAAGTTACCTTCTATGGAAGTATGTCTTGGAACGGAAACTGGGAATATTTCATATTATTTTGTGTAAGGTCAAAAAACAAGTTAGGACGCCCAAAGTGGATAATTTTTTTTGGTTCTACGATATCTTGGCAATATAGGGCAAAAAAAACCCAAAAAACACCAATTTGTTTTATTCTTTCATGCAGAAATCAGGAAAAACATTTTTTTTCTATTGACAACAAAAGTTTTTAAATTAAAAACATAGTTTTTTTTTCAAGTTTATGCCCGTATAGCTATAGCTAGAAAAAATCACACTTCAGGATGATAATAATATTTATAAAATTTTCTCAGTTTATAAAACACTTTGTTACACAGTTAACTTTGTATTATTCATCATCTACCGAGCACCGAACTTAAACGCACGCTGAAAGCTACTTTATAGCATGTTAGAAAGCGCCGTATAAAAGCTTTACCTAATTTTACTACAACCTTTTGCCAATATTTTTATTTATACTACTTTGTTTTCAAAATTTTAAAACTGAAAAAAAAAAGAAAAAACTATCAAAATTAAATTAAAAAATATTTTCAGATGAACAAAATTGCTAAAATAACCCTCTAAACGCCTCAAAATCTAATAATTTTCATCTTTCAATTGATAAAAACAACTATCAAGGTTCGATTTCTCATTGTTGATATAAAAAATTGAAGACCGACCATAAAATTTTCCAAATATGTTTTAGCAATTGTGTTGTAAAAGATCCTAACTGTAATTGAGATTTTTCTTACTTGTAGCTGTTAAGCGTATTTCACTTAGTAAACTTGTTATTCTGCTTATACACTTAAAACCCATTTTCTTTTTTGAAGTTGAAACCATTAACGAAGTCGCTTATGTGCTCTGATATTAAAAGCTTGGCTAAAAATTTGAATAACTGCTCCACACATGTAATTATTTCATAGGGGGTGCAATTTTCATTTTCCTTTAAGGGCTCTAATTTCTTCAAAGTTTCTGGACCTATCAATGAAGCGCGTCACAATTTGCTATTGTTTTTGCGACTTAAACAATGTAGTTTTGTTTGAAGTTCTACAAATACAGACTCAATAGTAGAACAGCGGCTCAACAATGGTTACCGAGGTTTTCATCGACATTCTTTGGCTTAGAAAATCCCACGAGGAGTACAAAATTGGGATCAAATTGTTCGAGTTTTCCATTAATGCATAGCAATTTCCTTAGAGTTTTAATTCGTTGTGAAAATTAGCGCCTGAAATTTATCAGTGCTGCAATGTTAAAAAAGTGCAGTTCTTCTCTAATATAAGGCAACGAGATCTGTTTTCCAGTTTATAAAATCAAATTAGTTTTCCTAAATGTGTCTGTTAAATGTTAGTTTTTAAAAACAGACAGGTTATATTATTTCTGGCACTCCGTGTCTTAATTGTTTAACACTATATCCTAGATTGTCGGAAACTAGAAATTTTGTTACAATCAGGCAGATATATTTTTATGAAGTCATTAACAACTTGCAAGCCTTGTTTCTGTTGTAGTAGAATGGAGTGATTGACTGACTCTAACGGCATTTGCCGACTGTTGCAACCCAAAAAATTTTCAAAATGATCAATTTCCACATCAATCTTTTCTTTTGATATCTACAATGCTTCTTTGAGATGAAAAAATATGCACTAAATTTAACAAGTGTTTTTTGATTGTTTTTTTTTTTTGAAATAATTGAAGAATAGTGTTGGACGGTAATCGTAACAAATTGTTTTTTGCGTCTTTTATCAGTAGGGACAACTTTCGCATATTTTAGAACGGCTAGAAATGTGTTGAATTTGACAAAAATTCAAAAAAAAAGTTTTCATATTCAGAATTACATTTTACTGGATTGATAATTTTGATCAAATAATTTAACAGGCCAGTTATGTTTTTTTCCCAATGGCCATGAAAAAAAACGTATATCGAATTTTTTTTTTTTTGTAAAAATATTTACTATCATTAAAAAAGTTACTCATTACGTTAAAAAGCAGGCTTTTTTTAGAACCTAATAGTTGTAAAAATGCCCTAATGCTCCAATAGTTGTAGAAAATCATGAATATTTCAGCCTTTAATTTGGTCTTCTCCGTACATTTTTCTTATTCCATCTCTCTAGACTACATGCGCTTGTTCTA